CTCCATAGGTGTCGTGTCCCACCTTCAATATGTGAGTTGGCATATCATGGAGGGGAGAATATTAATCAGCAATCTGATTTAGAAACTCCCTTGGTCCTGTACCATATATATTTAAAGAGATACGTTTAATTGTTAGAACTAATAACCATACTAATTGCATTGAAAATTATATTAAATTAGTAATAAAATATATTAAAAATTGGGAAATTCAACTCTGGGAAAGAAACATATTTCATGAAGAAAGATCCTACTGAATGTATCAGTGAGTAGCGTTGTATGTTTTTTAATGAAAAAAAATTGCATGAGAGTTAAAAAAATACCATAAATCATCTTCTAACTAAGGAGTATAAATTAATATATTATTTCTTCAATTTCTTCAATTATTAATGTCTATGTGTCCTCTTGGAGCTTATCACTATGAAATTCAGCAACATTCTTTCCACAAGAATTATTCATGACAGATTCTGAAAACCAGAGATGACTGAGACACACAGCAAAGCAGTGTGGAATATTCAAAAGTGCATTTCAGGAAGCCCAAAGATATATTCCGCTGAAAGCAAAGAGAGCTGAAGCGTGAGGGGAAAATGAGACAAACACAGCTGACCAGGGAAATACAGTAAGCAATAAAAGAATGGATAAAGGCATGCAGGACAGATAAATCAATGGGGTCCTCGCTTTGAGCAGGGATAAACAAGTCTAGAAAATAAGCAAATAACGGGATGATCACAAAAGCCAAAATTGGAAATTGAGAGAAAATTGCAGAAGCTATAAGGACAAGCGATAACAGATTTCATAAATACACGAGGAACAAGAGGTCGGTGGGAAAGGCTGTCATCTCCGTATGTGGTCAGGAGGGGAAGTTTGTGGTAGAGGCTGCTGGGAAGCCAGCGCTGCCTTCCCCTCGGAGCGCTCGCCAGCGAGACCACAGGGAACGTGCCAGAAACAGAGAGAAGCGTCCTGGAGGCAGAATCTGAAAAATTAATGAAACAAAGGATGAGAGCGGAACAGGTTAAGAGAGAAAAAGAAGAAAATAGGGCAGCTAAACAGTAGGCTCCAGGTCTGCTGGCCTGTCTCTCAGGTTTCTGAAAGAATTGGATTTTTTTTAACTCTCTCGGACTATGAAGTCTATAGTACGTGAGATATATATAAGCCATATGAGGTACATAGTTGAAGAGCAGGAAGAAGCCAGCGCAAGACAGTATCTTAAAGGTTTTACAAGGAAAACGCATGCAATGATAGCTTTATAAGCTATAAATCCAAATACAGCCAAAACCAAATTCAGGGTTCTAGAGAGAATGGGCAGCACATTGGTACAAACTAATCAGGAAAGAGTTTACAAAAGCTGAGTCAGAGTTAACTAAAATAACTGCTTTCCTTGGAAAAATTATGTATTCCCAAGTCCCTAGTGCTGGACCCAACCCTTAAAATATACAAATGTCTGTTTCTGTTAGTTGCTGATATGTCAATTTTAGTTCTGTGAGCAAAGGCACTGAGAGTAGATAAATAAAGTTAAAAACTAAAGTAAAATTCACAACTTCACTTGAATAGCTGAGTTGCAAATAGTTATTAATGTGATTTATAAAAGCATCAGAGCCGATCAGGCAGCGAACTGGCATTGATTTCCATTGCCAGTTACTCTCTTCCCAGGGGGCCCTGCATCCCAGGTAATGTCTTAGATTCTCACAAACTTCATAAAATGTTGTGTAGAAAAGCATAAAGACGTGAAAAAAAGATGAAAGATGACCAAAAATGGCAATGACAACAATTTATTTCTACCTTTGACCAAGAATTTGTTTCTAAAAAGTCATGCAGTTATACTTAGATGCCAAATACAAAAACTTAAACAACAGTTCAAAACAAAATAGATGTATTTGTTATCCTACTGTGTTCTTCCCCAGTTCCCAGACTATTGTGAATTCCAAATGGGATTTCTGGGGGGCATTACTAGGTGAAAACTTTTGCAAGTATTTAGTGTCCTTAACTGAACCAAGATTGGGGCAGGGTGGCCGTAATGTTCTGGCTTTAATGTGACAAAATTCAAGTTTGCATCATGTCCAGTGGCCAAAAATTTTCACAGTTTCACATCTACTGCTGCCCTTTAGCCTTGATGGTTTTAGCTCAGATCTGCCCGAGTGTCATCTTTACCTCTTACAATGTTCTAAGAAGGTTATAATAAGAGGAAGAAATGAAATCCTGGGGATTGCTCGGGCTAAGCCTACTCACATCTTTGAAAATAAATATCAGGATTTTGAGAAAATATAATTTAATGATAATGGCATTGAAGAAGCTATAGTGAGAGTAATATGCATGACAAAGAGAAGGAACAGAAATCAGGAAAGCAAGACACATTCACTTCAATAATTGTTATCCTCTCTGCTTAAATCCCATTGAACTGATACGCAAGTTTCTAAAATCTGCCTGAGCCCCAGGCTGTGACCCACTCCTGTTTTCCAGGATGCAGCCTCTGTTAGGCACCCAGATGAAGCAGGTTTCTCCCTATTTATCCAGCCATTTCCCTAGGCAGTGCTTCTCTTTTGCCCCAGGTTTTAGGCACTGTACAGACTGATGGAGATTGAACTCCTCTTTCTGCCCTGACTGTGATGATGTGGGATATTTTCCATGAAAATATGTCCGACCTTTTGTCTTGATTCTGAGCAGCTGGGTCCTGTCCAAGAGGAGCACTCTCAGGACAAGAGGCAGGACAGTCATTTGGCAGTGAGCAGTGGTGGTGACCTAGGGATAAGGATTTCCACCATATTTATAGGCTTTACATTGAAGCGTCTTTAGATAGAAACAAATATAGTCCAAAAAGAAAAGACTAGAAGCTTAGGCCTCCTCTCTTCCCAGGTTTAGGGCTCTTAAATTAGCGAAGGTTTGGGCTTTTGCTTGCCTGCTGTGTATCAGACTGAGTTTCCTGCAGCCAGCTGCACAGGGGCTCACCTTCTAGACAAGGATGCTCTTCCCCAGGACGTGCCATGCGACCTGCTGGATGGAGCGTGGTCCCGGCATCTGGAGGATGTAGGTCTGTTCTCCCTCTAGCCTGCACCATTAGGCTTGAGCTTTGGTGTTGGTGACTGGAAACTATATACCATTAGGACTACTACCCCATACCCTCTCCCAAATGAGGACTGGAATCTGGCTAGATGGAGGTACTTAAAATTTACTCGGTATTTCTTGATAGTGTTAATGGAGGGAGGTGTTTAATTTAGGCACATTGAATGAGATTTTAAAGACACCTGTAGTCCCTACACAGAGAGAGAGGTTTCTGTTACACAGAGAAGGTCCCCTTTGGCATGTTTTCATGATGAATACCATCTTTTGTGACTGTATATGTTCCTTAGATATGTGCATGCCAGGCAGACCGGGTCAACCTTCCTATGAACAAGTGCTTTAAAATTTAGGTAAGACAATAGCTGAGAAGTTAGGTACTTAAATAAAATGGTGTAGGCACTTAAATAAAATGCTTGTTACCTAAGTAGCAGTTTAAGTTGGTTGGTTTGCATAGCTGCTGGAATGCAATTAGATCAGACGAAGATCAAGAGCATGCAGATATCACAAAGAGCACATCTGTAGTACGAAATGCAATGAACCCCCCAATTTTTCAGTGGTCTGTCAACAGAATATGAAGCATTATTGGAGTGGAAGAAAATGATAAAGATCCTCAGTGTTTTGTAACCAGGATAAAAGGAACAAAAATATAACGTAAAAGAGGAATTTATAAGTAGATATGCAGAAAGGGCTGGAAAGAATGGTTTAAATTCCCCAAAACTAGTTAATCACAGGAAGAGGACTAAAAACCAATGTAACTTGAGTAACATTTATAATCACACAGTAAAAAAGATCAAAGTGGAAGTTCTTTAAACAAAAAGTAATTTGTGTGTGCTATAACCTCCTAACTCCGTGTAGGAGGTTATAGGGGCTACACAAGGGTGATCGCATTCAACACAGATTATATGACCTTTATATGAGTAGCCACTCCCACAGTGGCTAATCTGGGGGGAGACCAGAACTCTGAAATGCTATTTACGTTTTATTTACACATTAAAATGATCAAAAAGGAAGTGGTACTCAACTTTGAAGAGTGTGATTTCCTTCACTGACAAAGGATTTTGTTTATTGTTTGATTTTTTTTCAATGTGAGAACACTTCCGACACTTGTCATGAAAACTGTTGGGTTTATTTGTGTTGGGGAGCTTGCTTTCCTATTTACCCAGCCTTGTAGCATATAATGGAGCATAGCAGTGGAGAATTTAAGAACGATTCATAATTTATAATAATGACAACAATTAAGAGAGTTAAGAATGTGGTCATATTTTCATTATTTAAGTAGCATTCAAACATATCTAAATTGTACACAATCAAAAGCTTTCTGAATATTACAAAATTATGAAGCACTGCTTTATTCCCGATTGTAGTACTGATGGCTAACAGGTAGGATAAGATTGCTGGTTTTCTAATGATATTCATCTGCCTTAGAAAAGAGTGTGACATTCAGAAGAGAGAAAAGAATGAAAAGGAAAAGCATACATTTGTATCAGTTCTGTAACTGTTATGTTGGCATGTACGCGTGACACTTTCAGGCAAATAATAGTTTGCAATTTCACAGGTTTTGTAAGTGCCCTCCCCCTTGGTCATTATCGCCTAAGCAGCATTTTGAGAAACATGCATTTTGAGAACAACTGATCATGGTGTAGAATTAGAATATATGACTAAATGACATGAGTTTTACAATCTGACCTACAGAAATCTGCAGGATAGTGTAATAATTTGCATCTTTTATTTTTGCACAGTGTTTATGGCTGTCCTTTGGCAAAGAAACGAAAAACACAAGATAAGCAACCCCAAGAACCAGCTCCCAAAAGAAAACCCTTTGTGGTTAAAGCAGACAACTCTTCGGTAGATGAGTGCTATGAAACTGATGGAACAGAGGAGATGGATGAAAAGGAGGAGGAAGAGGAGGAAGAGGATGAAGAAGAGGAGGAGTATTCTGATGATAATGAGGAGCAAGGTGATGAGGAGGAGGATGATGAGGAAATAGATCGAGAAGAAGAAGAGGAGATTGAAGAGGAAGAAGAGGAGGATGAAGAGGAAGGTGAAGATGTGGAGGATGAAGAGGAGGAGGAAGAAGAGGAGGAGGAAGAAGAGGAGGAGGAGGAAGAACGTGGTAATAATCAGAGTATTAGTAAAAAGTAAACAATGTGTGTTTTCTGGGTTAATCTTCTAGTGTGGTGTGTGAGGATTTAGCTGTGCGGTTCTCATTAAAGCTAATGGAAGTCATGCAGTTAAATCTCTCTGCTCCACACTGAAAATATACCCCACTGTGTTCTCTTAACATTTATTTTAATAAGTCTGTCTTCCAAGTATTTTTTAATACACCAGCACTCACATTTCAAACAAAGAGGGTGGAGGTGTGTTTGTGCTAAAAATGCTTGCATAAAATATAATCCTAGTAGTGGATTAATGCATGCAGTTACCAGGAGAATATTCACAAAGGTACAAGCAAAGTATCAGCTACAGCTGGGTGCCTGTACTGATCATTTGCAAGCGTATTTGCTGGATCTGCTTATATAATGTCAATGGTTGCCCACATAAATGCTGTCACAAGTTTGCAGATAATTTTTGTGAGCAAAAATGGGCCTCTTCCCTTTGAAAATTTTGCCCCATACCTCCCCCTACCCCAAGAAACTATTCAGAATGAACTGTTGTGATATACTTTGGTTCTTTGAGACTTGAATGCTGTGTACTTTAGTTGATTCTATTAAAATACAGAGAGCGAGAGGGTTACATAGCTAAAGTCCTTCTAAAAGTAACGTATTTTGGTTATCATACCATGGCATAAATGCTATTTAGACATACAGGTCACTGGTAGTAACCAAATTAATGTTGTAGCAATGTGATTAACCTATTCACCTTTCTCTTTTTTGGGATATTGGACTCTATATAACCAGTATTTTCAAATACGTAATCAGTGTCCATTTACTCAAGAGTCCATATGCTGATGACAGACATCATAATGCACTGGGGTGAAATGAAAGAATCATGCAAAAATTAATGAGCTATCTAAAAAGTATTTTGTTCCCATTTCCAGGGAACACGTTTTTGGTTGGGTAGATTCACCTTTCTAACCAATAAAAATATAAGAAAAGCTTTCAGCACTCCTCAGTTGGATTCCTCTTAGGAACCAGGTATGAAAGTTGTATGACTTTTGTTTCAGCATTCTGTAAGGTCAGATCTTAAATCTTATAGAAAGACTTTGGAAGTATTCTTTCCATTTGGGCAAGATGGTGGCCAGCTGGGTGACTATAAGCATTTTCTCAGACATCTGAATCTGTAGCATTTCCTCAATCGCTTAAATTTGCAAAAAAAAATTGGTAGAGCATAAATGGCCAATCTTAAAAAGTTGCATGAGTTTGATGTAACAGGGAAGCCATTTCCTTTTGCAGGGAACTCTGCTGTTTCAGAACCTGGAAGAGAAGCTGTGTTAGATCAGGCTGATATGTAACTGCTATTGCTATCCTGGTGGACAAGCACAAGGATGTCTAGCAGTTTAAGAGATAATGGTGACTGAGCCTGTTGGTGCTTATGTTATGGTGCAACTGCTGCTGTGATTTCAGCTAACGTGAAAAACTTTGAATCTACACCATCAAAAATGATAAAAGAAAAAAAAAAAAAAAACTAAGCAAAACTCAAGAGCTCAAGAAAATTGCTTCTGGCAAGCCAGCAGGCTTGATACTCAGTTTACTTTTACTATCATAATGAAACACAGTGGTTTACTTATTCCAACACAGTTATACATGCAGTTAGTGGTCCTAATCAATCCATAGAGGCTGACATTGCTTTTTGACTGCTTTCCTTCCATATATAGTAGGCTGTGGTTAAGAACTGCAAAAATTTCACAGAGGTACCTGTATTAGCTGCTCCACATATTACATGGAATTAAAACTTAATCTAAGTCAAATTTGTCTTAGGATCCCATGTTATTCCAGTAATAATACATACGTACATTAATAAATATATATATGTTCTATTCAAATATTAAGAAAAAGACCTCATAAAATGGGAAAATTGACAATAGAATTTTATAAGAAAATTATTTCATCATCTTTTGAGAATCAACACAGTAATCACTATGCAACAGTCCCAGTTAGAGCACAGCTGATTTACAAGAAAGGGTTACTAGCAATTAATGAGGAAGGTAGTATGGAGTTCCTTATGTTTATACCAAGGCGTAGAGAGTGGTAACAGTTTGTTCTTGGTGAGGTCTAGAAGCTAATCAATAAATCAGATTTTTTTTAGATAGTTTATTTTCTATTGATTTTGATAGGGATCCTGGTGTTTTGCTTTCTTCCACTCGTAACGTAAGCAGCGCTGGTGGAATTTGGACTGTTGTTTTTCCAGGGAAACAAAGTGCAGTTGAAGTTAGGCGTTCTAAAACTACGTGGTCTGAATGTGGCACTTGCCTTTATCTATCGACTATATGGGAAAATTAGGTCTGTCAGCTCTGAATTTAGTTGTCTCCATCACTCGCTGCTCACTACAATGCAGATACTGTAGTAAACTACCATCCACCTTTTAAGGCACCCTAGCAGGACATCTGAATGTGTCTTAGTGTTCTTATCCCTAGGAACAAAATGCAGAATTAGCTCCTGGGGACCAGGATGACTGCACAGTTCTCATAAAGGTTTCCGTCACTTGTGTGGCAGATCATAGCAGTTCGGAAAATTTCCATAAGTAACTATAGCCTAGGTGGACAAAACAGTTAAAATCACAAGTATCAGGGATAGAAGAATTCTGTCAGCAAATATAGCACTACAGAGCCAGCAATTAGTGGGAGAGAAGGGAAGAGAGGAGGAAGGTAAGGTATTTTGCCGCTTCTTAGACCAAATTCAGTTTTCTGTTAGAAAAGGGTAGATCCTGGGAAACTCAGGTACCTCACTGGCATCTTATTGCCCATACTTTTTCTTAAAAGAAAGCGAATTTTGGATGGGATTCTCAGAGGATATGGATAATGCACAGGTGATATACGTATACAGTTCTTACTGAAAATACTTGGACTTTCACTGAAACCATCTCAGCCTTTTTGAAAATAGGATCTTTTTAGCCTTATCACTGATAAACTAAAGGACTTGGAAAATACAGATGTATCCTAAAGAAACACTCTTACAAATCTCAAAATACCAATTTAAAATAAAAAGAAAAAAATACCCAAGCTTTTTTAGATGAGTTCCAAATTCTGTGCTCGTATTTCTGTACTCAATCTGTTGAACCAAAATTAATGCTTAAAATTCCCCAGCAATGGGCAGCATATCCTCTTTAAATTTCCATTAAATATACTGAATCTCTTTGAAGAACGGATATCTATCCATGTATCTATGAACAGACATGAAAAGCCCTTATGTTCAGCACCACCACTAAAGGGAAGATGAATCTTTCCAATTTCCCTTACATCCCAGAAAGAAAGGGCAGATAGATAACCTGTGTTACAATAACCTAACCTGCAAATTGCAATACAAATGGGAAGGAGTAAGAGAAAAGGCTGCTTTAGGAGTGCCCCTTCACTGTGATGGCAACTGCCGAGAACATTTGGATTGAAATTTGAAGGGAGCGTTTGATTTGCAAGGCAAGCCAAAGTACTTTCTCCTGAGAAGAGCTCGCTTCAGGTGTTTGGGTCCCAAAGACTGTTTCACAAAGCTTTTCTATTATAGAAAGAAATCTCCGCTGGAGGAGCTCCCGGAACAGATGTTCCAAGGCACCATTTAGCCCATTTCACATGAAGACATTCAAGATGGCTTGTACTCCAGGTATTTCATAATCTGCCAGGGGCAGGAGGAGTCAGGCTGGTTCTAGACCTAAGGAAATTTGATACATCAGTCAAGTCCATTTCAGAGATGATGCTACAAAAACTATTGCGGTTACCCAAGAGGTGAATCGTTAGGATGTATAAATCTTTTAGACACTAATAAACTCAAGGTAGCTGGCATATACAATATAACATATGTGGTACTGCACCTAATTCTTCAGGTGGAATATACTGCAAAAATAGCTGTAAAAGATAGATAGCAGTGTATATTCAAAGGAGGTATAATACACTTTTTAAAAATAAATAAAAGCTAGCATGTGGATGTAGAGATAGATGTTCTGCATGTTTTCACATTTCTTTAAATTGTAGGATTGTTTTTAAAAATCTGCTAGTATGTTTGGGTTTATTCCTTCACTTCCATGAACTCGACACAGAAACATAGGCCCTCATTATTTGAAATCCACTGATCAGCTCTATTAAGATTGCTAGTGCCCTCTGCTATCTTCCTGATCCCCTCATCAGATTGCCTCTAAAGCACTTACGTCCACTAAACAAGAGGGGGCGCAAATACCAATCTAAAGTTGAAAGAAGCGCATGTGCTGAGGAAGCTGTGGTGGCACAGAGCTCTCCAGCTGTGGTTACCTCGGAAGACACTCTGCATCTTAGTAGATGTAGAGGCGACAGATCTGTATTAGCAAGGTCGCCTGTCCCGCCTGCTGACCACTAATCATATTCATTCATTTAAACTATTAGCAGGAAAGTGGTCATCTATTTGGTGAACACAGTAGGTGTTCAGTATTAATCAGAGCAGAGAGCTAGGCTCGTGTACCTTAACAGGCAAAACACCTAATAGAAGAAAATTATAGCTTTAAATTAAGAGGCCAGAAAGCATAATTTCACTGCTTAGGACAATATACATGGAAAGAAGTGCATTTTCCAGGGCCAAAGACAACTAAATAAATACCTGACAGTTTCACAAGGTGAAGCAGATCTTAACCCTTTGCTAATAAACTCTATTGCTGTCTTGTTTCACCTCCTTCATAAAAGAAGATACCCTGTGCTTAGAGTATCTCACCAATGACCAGGAAAAAATAAATAGAGTTGCAACTGGACAACATATATCCTGTCCATTGTGTTGGTTTCCTCTGGGTAAGAAGTTAAAGTTACTGTTCAGGTCCCTTTCTAGTCTAGTTACAAAGTGCTCAAGCCTGGGTCTAACCACAGCATAAGAACTCTTTTTGATACCTTTTTTGGCATTAAAGATGTAAGCATGGATTGCAACATGTTCTGCTGTTTAGCTGTTTATATCATTTCATATAGAGACATTCAGACTAAATGTTTTCTCTGAAAATTTTTGCTGG